TTTCAGTTCCGGTATTTTTTCTTGTTCAGCTTTGACACAGGAAATAGTGACGTAAAAGAAATCAAAGTAATAATCAGAGAACGCCACCACGAAATGGCTTATATCTATGATAAGTTTGTCTCTTAGCATGTGACTTTCAGATTGGATTTAGATGAGCTCTTGAAGGTGTGAGTGTGGATGTTTGTCTTCATTCTTCACACGTACCGATACTCATAACACCTACACTCACGCACTCACCAAGTGATTGTTTTTCAATTAAATTAATATTGTTGATTGATTCGGTATTAGCTAATATCAAGGGCAATTCGTAAAATATTTTACGAAAAACACCTAGCATTGTCAAAGCACCACATTAAATCGAGTTTAACTATAAAGCTGTACTCTGTAAAAAAAAATTCGTAGAATAATAAACCCAAAAAAGGGTTTAGGAAAATCATAAACCCTCTGAAAAAACGTTACAAAGGGTTTAGGAAATCAATATACCTTTCGAGATACACTTCCAACGACTCAAGAAAGCGTTTAAGACAGAAACGAACCATACGAAGATTTATTATAACTTGCACTTTAATAAATTCAACTCAGACTTCAGAAAAGCAATGAAAACCTACCAACAAGCCTTGCGGATTGTGCCAGAAGGGGCTTACGAGATGCATAAACACCTTCAGAAACGGTTCCAAGGCGTTCACGGTAGGTTCTTTAACTTTTCTAAACACTTTAAAGAGCTTATTAAAGTGCAACATATACTAAACCCTCAAATGGTTTACTATTTTTATAAACGCCACTCTAAGTCTCACCAAGGAGATACGAAACGATATATTCGTCGATGACTTGCTCGGGAGACTCTAAATATGAGAAAATCAACTACAATTTATTTTAAATTTTTATCATATTTCTCTTGGACTGTTGCTCGACTAAATCTAAATAAAATAAAATTTAATTCCAAATTGTAATTTACCTGTTATTGGAGAAGTTGTTCGACCAAATCTAAACAAAATAAAATATAATTGAAATTGAAAATATAATTTACCTGCTGTTGGAGAAGTTGTTCGACCAATTCTAAATAAAATAAAATATAACTGAAATTGAAATTATAATTTACCTTTTGTCGGAGAAATCGAAACACTAAATCTAAACAAAATAAAAATTATTTCATTTGAAATTAAAATTTACCTGCTGTTGGAGTAGTTGTTCGACCAAATCTAAATAAAATAGAAAATAATTGAAATTGAAATTATAATTTACATGTAGTTGGAGAAGTTGATCGACCAATTCTAAATAAAAAAAAATAAAATTGAAATTGAATTTATAATTTACTTGTTGTTGGAGAAGTTGTTCGACCTATTCTAAATAAAATAAAATAAAAAATAATTTACCTTTTTTTGGGAGAAGTTGTTCGACCTATTCTAAATAGAATATAAGAAAAAATAATTTAATTTAAAATTGTAATTTAGCTTTTGTTGGAAAAGTGGTTCGACCATTTTTAAGTAACAGAAAATAGAATATAGTTGTATTTAAAATTGTTATCGCACTTTCATTTAAGAAGTCGTTAGATGAAAGATAAGTGGCATGAATGAGTTGAATTTAGTGTTGTATGCAGGTATTGGTAAACAGAGCTAAAAGCCTTTTTGTGGGAGGGCCTGTGCTAGGCAAGTTAGTTGCTGGCTTGTTTGACTTCGGATGATTTGTTTGAAAATGTTTTGTATATGGATTGGTTTGAAATTGTTTTTGTTTGACTAAAAAGTCTTCGAGTTGATCAAGTTGGGCAAGAGCAGAACAATAAATCATTAAGCATAAAGTGTTGAACCCTTTTTACGAAAAGGGGAACAATGAACCCTTAACGGGAGAATGATAATTGCTTTTCTTGAAAAGGTGGAACAATAAACCCTTTACCGTAGAATAATACCCAGGTCAAATACGTACTGTGGGAAACTGCCTGATCCGGTGATTTTCCATCGAATTCCGGAAGCAGTATTCCGAAACGTTTTCCGGTCTCCGTTTCCAGGGTATTTCCCGCTAACTCCTGTTTCCGGAACCGATAAGCGGATACGGTTTCCGTTTACAACAGGATTCCGTACTACGTTTCCGATGGTTTCCATTTACTGCAGGATTCCGGAGTACTTTTCCGATCGTTTCATTTTGACGATCGGAAACGAAGGAATATAAATAGTTTCCGATCTAGATACATAGCCAGGATCTGGCCGTTTTTAAACCCGGTATGGAGTCCGGATTTCGCCGTTCCAACAACCAGATCCGGCGAATAAGAACTATTCGATGTTTCCTTTTACTAATTGAACAAAATTTATGAATTTCAAGGATAAGTACACATTGCTTATTTGAAGTACGAAG